ACTACTATCTGCTTATCAAGAATATCTGATGACATTTAAATTGATGACGTCACAAGTGGTACAAAGAGCACGACCATTAATTACGCATATATGCATAATTGGGGCTCAAAGGGTCAATGAAACTTCTCAAACGGAGGATTGAAGATCCCTAACAAAAGGCGGTGGGCTTAGGTTAAGCTGAGAAAATAGACGAAAGTTTGTTTGCTTTTTGCGCGCTCCTCGGTCGCTAACGCGCTCCGCGTTCTAGCGTTTTCTCACCTTGCAACGCTCTCTCATAAGCCCCGTCCACACTACACCGGAGGAATTTGGAAACGGAGGTTTCACTCTGAAAACGCATCAAATGTTTTTCGTCCACACTGCGAAGGATTTAAAACCGCAACAATCACCGGTCATTTTGGATTTGTGTTTGAGGAAAACTCGGGCAGGGAAATCATATTATGATGGTGATGTCATCGTTTCCATAAGTTCCGTTTTCAAAATGTTTCCCGTCGACACGAAAACACAAAGGCGGCGTTTTTAAATTCCTCCGCTTTGAAGAGCGTTTTCGAAAAGCCCAGTCCGTTTTCGTGACGGACTAGTAACCGGAGAAATAAAGCTACATTTTCAAATTTAAAATGTGTAAATAGTGTCCAGATTAGTTTTCTTTTTTGAGCAAAATACCATTGACACTTAAATAAAGTCTTTCATTCATTCATTCATTCTCCGGCGTAGTTTGGACAGTTCCTATGGAAACAAAAGAAACGGCTATTATATGGGCCAGCCCTCTACTCAGCGTTCTTTGGGATCGTCACAATCTTTTCTTTAGGAAAGCCAAAAGAGTGCCGGGTCATAAGAACAGGACACAGATAAATAGGAACTAAGAACTTTAATATATTACTTATCAAGTCTTCGTCATTATAACATTTCAAGTAAATTTACGGACCAAAATAACTTCAGAAATGCCGCTGACGGCTGTCTTCTTGACTTTCAGAAATTTATTCCGCGTTGACCTGCGTTGCCGGCGTAACGGGGAAGAGTTAGGGCCCGGGAGGTACTTTGGGGATTTCCGGGTGGGGATGTGCCGCTGGGACCCTGCAACCCTTAGCCTATACCAGAGCTAATTCAGCTGAATTTTGCTATCCTATACTAGGGTAAACTCCCCAAATCCCCCGATCTATCGACACTGTTGAGGCTGATTTGCGTAAATTTAAACTTGCCGATTCGATTTTTTTTTACATTTTTGAGTGGCAATTCCTGGTTTCCTTAGTCTAGATAAAATCTTCAACCAACTAGTCAATTTTGTGAAAAATGATACCCTATTCTAGACCCAAACGCTCTGATTTATATACCCTATCCTAGAGTAAACTGCTTGAAAACCATACCCTTCACAGAGGCACATACCTATATAGCCCATATATGGCAGTACCACCCCCCCCTCGGGGGGGAGTTAGGGGAGGCAAAAAACGGGAGGAAGTAATTATTATTGACCAGGGATGCAACCACGTAGTTGAAATCGAAAATTAACTAAGATCAAATATTAACTACAAAAATACATCTCGTCATCAGAGTGTATCGTTATTTATGATTATTTCAGAGCAAATCATCCACAAATTAGCCCTATTACTTTAACCTGAGAGCTGTAGTCAGCAGTGGTAGTGCTGAGCGGAGTACTATTTAGGCGAAGCAGTAAACGTGCAAATGGACTAGATGGAGAAGCGACAAGCAACGGCCTGTTTTGTCTCTTTTATTCGACTCAAGAAGACTTCAAGTAGTACCACATTGGTCAAGCCTGTTCTCCTCTATGGATGCGAAACACGGAAAGCGGAAAGGACATCAAGAAACTTAAGTCTTTCCAGTACCAAGGCCTCAAAACGGCTCATGGACACCCGAAGGAAAGAGGAAGGTGGGCAGACTTAAACAACGGAAGAAAGAACAATAAAAGAGATGTAAATGCAGCTGGCTGGAGATCTTAGAGAGTGGAATCACGCATGATTCTGAGGGCCATGGCGTAAATTGTGTTCAATAGAGAACAATGAGTGGAGGTGAGGTGAGTGTCCTATTCAGGCTAACTGCTTCAGTTTAACCAGTGCTATTTCGTTCATAGTAACGGTATTTAGGTAGACTGTTCACAGCCCTCTATCTTCTCGTATTTTTATTCGATCGTTGAACACGCGGATAGAATCGCGAGAGAAATGGACGCCAGCGCAAAACGGAAGACTTGACTCGCTTTTTCTTTCGCGTGCGTGAATATGGAGAGGCTGTGAACAGTCTAGTATTTAGGCTCAGTTCTCCCGTCCACCGTATCCACCGTATCCACCGTGGAGGCGCGGTGGCTTCATGGTTACTGAACTCGCCTCCGGATCGAGCGGTCCGGGTTCGAGCCCTGCCTGGGGACATTGTGTTGGGTGATGGACAAAACCAGGGCGTATCTAATCGATATTTTCGATACTCGATAGAAATCGAACGTAATCGATCGTAATCGATACTAATCAATCGATTAATATCGGAAATCGATAGAAATCGATCACTCGCGTCCTTGTGACTATCGATTTTGATCGATTTCTGTAATTAGGTATCGATTTATCGATTTGTTCGACTATGATCGAAAAAAATAAATGGACGAAGATTCTCTTTCATAAAGTT